AGCAGGGAGCCCGATGCAGGGCTTGATCCCAGGACCCCGGGGATCATGACCTGAGCCGAAGGCAGTCGCTTAACCAGGCATCCCTGCGTGTGTTGCTTTATCACTGCAGCCGGGGGTCTGTCCTGGCCCCCTTGGGCTGACTTGGCCAGTCAGGGCCCCTCAGCCTGCAGGAGCCAAAGTGGCCCAAACTGGTCCTTGGGGGAATCACTCGAACTACAGCTTCTTGTCCCCAGCCATAGCAGCTTAGAGCCTCCTGGGCGGCAGTCCAAATAATTAGGCCGTGCCATGTTGGCCTTTGACAGACCTTCCTCCTTCGACGGCTTTTTTTTTCTTTAAGATTTTATTTATTTATTTGACAGAGAGAGAGAGAGAACACAAGCAGGGGGAGTGGGAGAAGGAGAAGCAGGCTTCCCACGGAGCAGGGAACCCGATGCGGGGCTCGATCCCAGGACCCTGGGATCATGACCTGAGCCGAAGGCAGACGCCCAATGACTGAGCCACCCAGCGCCCCTCGACGGCTTTGATATAAAGACAAGTGTAATCCAGGATGAATTGTTTCTTCTTCTTCTGATTTTAAAAGAAATTAAAATATTTCCCTGGGTCCCTCCAAGTATTGTGGCCCCAGGCACTGGGCCTGCCTGTCTTGATGAAATCGGTCTGGCCACACCTCCCAGCAAGCAGCCAGCCCTCACCTTCTTCCTGCAAGGAGGTGCCTGTGGCTTGGCCAAGTGGCACACTCACCTCCCCCGGAAGATCCGTGGGGAGGAGACAAGGCAGCTTCCCTCCAGCCTCACCCCTACTACACATGGCGCTCAAGTAAATTTCTGCCCCCAAATATCTGCTGCATGCCAGGGCCAAAGGGAGGGGCTGAGAACAAACACAGGAGGCCCCCTGCCCTCCTGAAGCTCACACAACCCTACAGTTGAGAGGGGATTCACACGGGAGGTCTGCATGCAGATGCAGACATGGAGCTGCTGTGCCTGCTGGGCCTGGAAGCCTCCTGTTACTTCTGCCTCCCTCCTGTCCAACACCACAGACCCCTCCAGAGCCTGGGCAACAATCACGGTCCCTCCTCTGAGCAGCAGCTGCAGCCCCTAGTTGGCCCCCAGCTCCCCTCTTGTTCTTTCCATTCCACTCCTCTGCTGAGGATCCTCCAAGGCTCCCACTGCTTAGGATCCAGTCCAAACCTTTTCCCTGGCACTGGAGGCCCTGCCAAACTGGGGTCAAGCTAACTACCCCACCCTTTCCCACCTCTGTGCCCCTGTCTAGGGCACCGCCCACCCCACCCCCACCCTGGGCATCTCCACATGTCCAAGTCTGACTGCTCTCCGGTGTCATGCCAGCAAGCTCTTCCAGAACCCCAAGTCTGTGCCACCCCCATTCTAAGTGGGCAGTGACTTCTGAACTCCACAGCACTGAGCACGGAGCTTCTCTTGAGCATTTGGCATGTATATTGAGCCCCTCAGGGTGGCCAGCTCTGGGCTGAACCCTAGAGGATTCAACACAAGCAAAGCCTATCTGTAGGCTCAGTTGATCCAGGAAGGAGGCATGGAAACACCCTCCCAAGCCCCAGAGGATTAACCCCACCTCACAGGCTCAGAGAGGTGGAGGAACATCCTGAGGTCACACAGCGGGTCAGCGATGGAGTCAGGATTCCCATCCAGGCACCCCCAGGATCTGCACTCTTAACTGGTGTGTCATTCAGCTTCCCAATTCCAGGTGTGATTCAAGTACAGTATATCCTTCTATTTTATTTATGTGTTTACTTTATTACACAAGTAATCCACATTTATTGCAAAGGAATTGGAAAACACAGAGGAAAAAAATAAAGCGACCTACTCTCCCATCGCCTAGAGCAAAGCACAGTCCACATTTCGGTGAGTGTTTGCATGACTTTTTCTAAGCATATCACACCTTCCTTTACAAGAGTGCCTTCATGCTACAAATGGTTTTATAATTTTCCTCCCCTTACAATAAATCAGACGCCTCTTTCTACAGTAACAAACATTTGTCTACCTTGGTTTTCTTAATTGTGAAATGTTCCATACAAACAGAAATGTATATAAAACACTGTGTACACTTTAAAATAATAATGAAAAAACACCTGGGTGTCCACCCCCAGGTTAAGAAACAGGAGATTGCCAATGGCCCAGGGGTTTCCTGTATTCTCTCTGAATCCTCCCCTCACCTAAGGTCACCTCTAACTTGACTTATGAGTTAAATATGACCTTGCTTTCCTTTAGAATTTTTTTAAAGATTTTTTTTATTTATTTGAGAGAGAGAGAGCACACAAGCAGGGGGAGGGGCAGAGGGAGAAGGAGAAGCAGACTCCCCGCTGAACAGGGAACCAGATGTGGGGCTCAATTCCAAGACCCTGGGAACATGACCTGAGCCAAAGGCAGACGCTTAACCGACCGAGCCACCCAGGCGCCCCACTGCTTTAGTATTTTTAATTTCCAAGAGATTCTTTTTTTTTTTTTTAAAGATTTTATTTATTTATTTATTTGAGAGAGAGAGAATGAGAGAGAGCACATGAGAGGGGGGAGGGTCAGAGGGAGAAGCAGACTCCCCGCCGAGCAGGGAGCCCGATGTGGGACTCGATCCCGGGACTCCAGGATCATGACCTGAGCCGAAGGCAGTCGCTCAACCAACTGAGCCACCCAGGCGCCCTTCCAAGAGATTCTTATTTGCTTTCTAAATGTCCTTTTTAAATATAACTTTCTGTTCACTTTTCATGGATACAGCATCTTCTCTTACCTCTCAACTATCTGTGATAGTTTTCTTAAAACAATTATTTTCTGCTCTTCTAATAGTCTCTGAATCCTATGTGTTGTGGGTTTTTTGTTTTGTTTTTGTTTTTTTCTGTTTGTAAGAGGCTTTCCTCAGATGCTTGGGAATTTTGGCCTGGTTGCTCATGATTAGAAGGAAGGAGGAAAATAAGTCTATGGATGGTATTTGTTGGTTTAGCATCACTGTAAGTTGGAGCTTGGGGGGCCATTTGTCTGGGAACTTCCTGGACTGTCAATGTCTTTCAGATTTCCTCTTGGACTGGTCAGATTCCCCAAGGTCCTTCAGTCCCTTGCATGGAGGGTAAGGGTCTAGTTCTGGGTTTCTGGGAGCTTAGTGGGGCAGAACACCAGAGGAGGTCTCCTCATTCAGCATTCAGCATCCACCTGTTTTGGCAAAGTACCCACATTCACCACTGTCCCTGGCATGTCCAGCCCTTTCCAGAGTTAAACCCCAGATGTTTGCCAGAATGAGGGAGGGGCACCACTCAGTGGCTAGAGAGAGGGGTCTAAAGATCTGTTCTTCAAAGATACCTTCAAATTGTCCTCTTTATTTTAACCTTCTTTCACCCTTAGATCTACAAGCAGCTAGCGCTGCCAGTCCCTCAGCTTTTGAGAAGGCTCTTGTATAAATGAGGGTTGGTCAGCTTTCCGCACTGTCCAGAGGAATTTGGCTGTCTGGAGTCAGCTAAGTCAAGTAATACTGGTCTTCCTGCTTTTCAGCTTCCAGGAGTTCTTTTCTTTCCTGTTCTCCCCGTCCTTGTGGATTTAGGTCTTTATAAGATTCCCTTCCTGTGGATTTATGGGCTTCTGGAGGCAGTGTGTGCTCTGTTCATGTCTTAACCTGAAAATCTCCTCCGTATCTTTGATGACCTCAGCGTTGTATAGATTTGCCGTAACCCATTTAATGAATCTCCTCTCGTCAAATACAGGGCTTTTCCCCACTTTTTCCTTGTCAAAAGCAAGGCTGCATCGGATGTTCTGAGAGTTAGGGCTTTGCTCATTTGAGTCTTAGGACAAACTCACTGAAGTAGATTTGCTGATGTAATTCCACGTAGATCTTTCTCATTATGAGGAGTGTGTGCGCGTGGGTGTGGGTGGGTGTCTGTCTGTGTGTCTGTCTGTCTCCCGGGCGCCGTAGAAGAGGCTGGCAGGAAATGAGAGAGGAGCAAGTGGGGGTGAGGTCAGAGTTAGACTCTCCCTGACCCTGCCTCACACCGCTGCTCAGAAGCCTGTAACCCCCATTTCCGATCCCCCTTCTGTCTCTAACCACCTGTCACTCAAGTCTTTGAGCCTTAGACCGAGGATGGAGGATAAGAGCCCCTACCCATCATAGCGTTGCTGTGCGGAATTAAAGAAGCTAATGTCTGGCAAATATCCAGGGCTTTGTTCAATGGAGCAGATATGAATCGGATGCTCCTGTGTGCCTGGTCGGTTTACAGGAAAGATTGTGAAAGAGATCTGTTCTCTTACTGCACAGCGCTGCTGAGAAACCGAACAGGAGAAACGTGGACGCGTCTCAAACCCCCTTCACAGGCGAGGTACAGTGAGCATGACACTGCGCTCGCCGCCCATTCAGGAACTCTTCCCGCGGGCGGACGGCTGTGCGGCGCGGGGCGGCGCTTTGCTCGCTCCCGCGCGGGTTGCCCTAAGCGCCTGGGTCACTCCAGGCCCCCGGCGCGCAGCCGCGCGGGCTCCAGGGCGGAACTCGTACGCGCGGAACCTTTCTTCCCTGCCCCCGGGTGCCGCGGCCCGGCCGGCGGGAAATGCGTCAGGGACCGCGCCGCGCCGCAGCCCCTCGGCCTCGGTCGCCCCGGTAACGCGCGGCGGGCGGCAACCTCACCATGAGCGTGCG